AAGTCTGGTTTGCTTCCTTTGTAGCCTCGTAGTTCCTAGGCTGAGATGAGAATCGCAGTACTCGTACAGTAAAACCAGACCAATGCGCTCTGCACAGGTTCATAGTATGGGCCGCCGTCCAGCGTAACAAGTCTCAAAAGATGACGGCCACTGATCGTCTCGAATGTCCAATGCTTCGCTGTCGGAAGAGGTTTCCAGACCATGCCGCTATGCTGGAGCATCTCTACGAATGCCCTCAGCTTGGCACTGGCGAGTATTGGTGCTATGAGTGTAGCAAGGCCGAGAAGTTCACCGATGGAAACTGCAAACGATGCCTCGGCCATCCTGGAAAGAGACGCAAGATCATGAGCGTCGCTAAAAACTTCTTCTCATCTCTGGGGCATAAGTCCAGAAATAACCAGAGAATTCCCGACTTCCGCCTGGACAACGTATCCGAAGTCGCCATGGCACCACCTCCGAGTTACGACGACTCCTTGCACATCCAACCACACCAAGTTGAGCTTTCTTCGTCGTCGGAGATCTTGGAGATTGACTCAGTCGAAGTTCCCTGGCCTTTACCCTCGAATGCAAACCGCAACACTATGGTTACTCAACCCCATGTATCTATGGGCATGGTTCCGGCAAATCTCCAGCACCCAAACTCGATTCTGCCCGATCCTTGGTTTGCGCAGAACAATTTGGACATCGGCGAGAATACCATGGGCAAAGCCGACCGGCCATTGTTGGCCCTTGATACTGACGTTTTTAGCCAACCCCGCAAACAACTGCAGCCCACGACAAGAACTAAGAATCTATCGCCAAGCAATTCACTTAGATCAAACGCGAGCACTGATACAACTGCTAGCTACCTCATTTCGCCCGCGTCTGCCTATAGTGGCGCATGGACAACTGCCGAGACAAATATCACATCACCGACCTCTGACGGCGGCTCTGGCGGATATCTCTCCAGAGGATGTTCTAATGCGAGTCGATACTCAAATAACAGCGTGGAGCCATATAACTTCATTTCGGAGCTTCCGGCAGATGACATTCTACTGCAACCTTTTCCTATGACACTTCCGGCCGTTGATTTCGACCAGCCGGCATCCTCATTGGAGATACCAGCCGCCGTTAGCCCAATATCCGAAGCCGCCGATGTTCCTGCTCAGCAAACATTCGACATTCGTGCGCTCAACAAACTTTCGGAAGAGGCTTTGTTTGATCATGTTGTCGACGCCAACTCGCTCGTCGGATCGACGTGGGATACCCTCAAGACTCACATCAGCTCCTCCCTGGAAAAGCTGCAGCATGTCCCATATAGTGCTCTCGTAGCACAGCTGAAAGATCTCTCGACGCAACAAGTAGCAGACAAGGCCCTCGTTACGTTGAAGGGCATGTCTGAGGGTAGACAACCTGCTACCAGCATTGATATCCTTTGCTTCGTTCATCTCATCTATTCCATCTCGCTCGTCGTCCACGAAGATGGTGCTCGGGACCACTCCAGGGATCTATTTGCTCAAACATCTCTGTACGGCAATGTGCTCCCTGATTGGGAGAAATCAGATTATCTTCGAGTGGCATCAGCGATTTGGCAGCCCTTGGATCTATCTGCCGGGAAACTGGATGGCGTCCTATCAAGAAATTACGGGGGTGAAGTTTCTCGGTCGTCGAGCAAAAAGGGCAAAGAACGGGATCCTGGTCTATCGACATATCAGCCGGAACCTGGACAGGATAAATTGTTGGAAGTGGCAATGTTCTTCCTAGATGGTACGTATACACTGGCTTTTGAGCTGGTTGACAACTGCTTACCCTAGATTACAGAGTTGGACTATGCTGTCATGTCCAGCGGGCAGCCCGAGTCGGACGAAGTCTTGACCTCGCTACTTTGGGCACAGCATTGGCGATACAACACCGATCGGGCTCCATTGAACGGTGCACTGTCTGCAAGCTTCAAAGGAATTCGTAGCAAACTCAACCAAGACTTCCCTCACGCCGATGGTCTAAGTGCAAAGTTGAAGCGTATTCATAAGCGCATCAACGATGGTAATATTTGGTGCGCCAGGCAAGCAGAGATAGAGCTCATGCAAGCCGGTAAAGTAAGTATCAAGTAACAGAGGAGCTCTTAACGTACTATGCTAACATCGTGAGCAGAGGTCCATGGTGTTGTCGAACTACTTTAATCATTATGTCCCGACCGTCAGGGCGCAGTCAGAGGTCCTGTACGCCAATCCAGGGACTGTCTCACGGATAAGCTATTACGCATACGCTATCAATCTGGTGGAGTCTATCATTCGCGGTATTTGCACAAAGGAGAGGCTGGAGAAGGCCACTCCAAACCCTTCCAAGATGACGAGCGAAGCGGCCCTCGATGATTTCATGAATCTGACAACGACCTTGGGCGACACAACTTGGGGCGATGCCCAGACTACGACGACCGACGCGCCGCTTATCCCGTCGTCCATGCCTGATATTGATATTTGCATGGATGTAGATAGCAATGGCTTGTCGGATCAGTTGAAGATGTTCTTTGAAGAGGGTGGAGTTCCAGCAGCGCCGGCCTTCCGGACACCACCATCCACGACACAGCCCAACAACGCACCTGACAAGCCTGGGGCCAAAGTCCAGGAAGATCTACCTTCGAGCTCAGCACCAAAGACAGAGGCTGAGGCCAACGAGAAGTGTGAAATCTGTGGATACCGGCCAAAAGGCCACCCTCAGTGGTTCAAGGGGAGCATGGCAAAGCACAAGAAAATGCAACACTCGACGGCGCCGCCAAAGATTTACAAGTGTCCGTTTCCGGGGTGCACAAGCCAGTATAAGAACCGACTAGACAATTTAAAGCAGCACCAGCAAGACAAGAACCACTTTGTGGACGGGGAAACCGAGAGGAGACCGAGCAAGAGGAAGAAGAGAGACTAGCGGAGTTTTTGAGACCTGATTACTTGGACAGTGATCCGCACGATAGAATGGGTTTTGATTTCTGGAGTTTACTGGATGGATGTAAAGATACCACATGAGCGAACAGAGCCTGGGTTCTTCCTTTGTTGCTATTTTTTTTGTTGTGTTTAGCAAGACACTGTATTCTATACCCTCGGTTTCGCACTCATGGCATCCGATGACGGAAAACGAATATGACATTACAACATGATTATTCATATTGAAAACATCAGTCAATGGAGTACGTTTCGAGGCTCCAACATTACCTACAGCAACTTATCAGTGGAATTGGTTTGTATCTCTGTACGATTCAAGGGTCCCGGCTTGATACGGGAATGACTCGAAAATTACATGTATGCTAGAATGCACTGGATGGTAATTATGTAGAGAGATATTCGGAAAGGGTGGGCTTTTCCAAGTCACCTATAGTCAACTTGGAATAGAACAAATTAGGCAACACACAAAGCTGATTTGTTAGTGATTGTTGACATTGAACATGCCACATTGCTGACGACTGTCTTGTCGAATACAGATAACCGTAGCATATGAAAGGCATGGCTTCTACCCAAGAATGACCACACACACCCGGCAAACCTGAGCTTGAGCAGCTTTTGGCATAGAGCTCATTCACCTCGGTGAGGTCGGTGTAGGCAATATGAAAACACGCCACTCTTTTGATAGCCCAGCCTTGGGCAGGGATCGGACCTGGTAGGTACATCGTTGGGACTGGCAGAGGTAGGACCCCCAGTAGAAAAGCACCGCGAAAAGCACAGACAGGCCACCCAGTTCACTCACTATCCGGTCTCGATTTTGTAACATTTGCGCAGGTGCCGGGGGTGGGTTGTAAGGCTGATTTGCGGGCTTCCAGGGGGAGCTTGGTGCTGTAGCGAGCCGTCGAAACCCCCGTAAATGCATGGGGTGCGGGACGGGATAGTGTTCTCGTAAGGGAGGTACGGATACCTTGGGTAGGATACCTAAGGTACGAGATGGGAGCTTCCTCTCTTATTTGTACCTTGCGTGGCCGTGAAGAAGGCAACAGCGTTTGTAGTCCGCTCTTTGATGGCCCGATGTAGAAGGCATGATATGCAGAACCTAAAAGTGTTCTTCTCGACTCGTACTCTTCAGAGATTCGGGGTTGTGGAAGGGGACCTGAACAGAGCAGTTGGAGGGGGCGTGGGCGTGTGGTCTGGTCGAGGTCCCCTGGAGCCCTGGGAGGAGCTTGTACCTGCAAAAAAAGGGGGTACAAGCGCAATCTGGATACCTGAGGTGTGCAGTGATGGTCCATCGAATACCTGGGTACCTTATGGGTGGCTTATCTAATCAGCCTTGCCTCTAAGGAGTGCGAATAGAAAAAAGCAAGTCCATCAAGTCGCGTCCAGCGCAGCGCAGCACGCCTCAGCTGTCAGATCAGAGAGGTGTCGAGCCAGCGCAAAATGACTTTTGGAGCCCTCAAGTGACACCTTTTCCCACCCACTCGGACACTCCCGCCATCTTGCGATTTTTCCAATCTCACGCCTCTGTTCGGGGACGTGGGTAAACGCCAGGAGCTGTCACCCTCCTCTTATTCCTACGTGCACCTGGATGCCGTAGTGGATGGAGTACCTGTAGGGAGTAGTCAAGATCAATCAATCTTTTGAGCCTCAATTGTAGATGTGCACCACTGTGGATTCCTCTCCCATCCCGCGTCTGCGCTTTGATCCGGCTGAACGCGCGCAAGTTCTTTAATCCGATATTCTGCTGCTCTCGTGTTCACCCTTGACGAAACACGTTGCCTTTCTGGCTCTGTTATTGTTTTTTTTTTTTTTTTTTTCCCTTTTCCCCTCTCTCTCACGCGCTGACGAGCGCCAGCACTGCCAGGCAGGCGGTTAAAAAAAGAAGTCGGCACAGCCAACAATGAGGAAGAAAAGGGGGGGCCGCTCTGTCCGTTCTTAATGACATCACCGCTGGGCTAATAGTCACGTGTTGTGTGCCACTCCAGCCAATGCCAGTTGGCCCAAAGCCTCCAAGGGGGGCAAAAGGGGGTGGGGTCTCCCCCTCAAGTCTTGACTCCTCAGGCTCCAGTCCCGATCCTAACCCTTCAGGCGTCAGGTCCTTCCCTTGACTTTGGCCGTCGCCGCCCCGTCCCTTTCGTCTCTTTGATGCGCGCCCGCCCAAAAAAAATAGTTCGGGTGCACCTTGAGGAAACTTGAGAAGGCCCGCGCCACAGAAAATTTCTCCCGGTCGCCTTTCAGCTTTACCTTAGGCTTCCCCTTCCCTGTCTCCCCCTCCTGGTCCTCACTGTTCTTTCCCATCGCCCTTTGGCTTTCTGTGTGCTTTGCTGCTGCTGCTGCCGCCAGTCCTTTTTGACTTGACACGGTCCTTGGTGTCAAGTCCCAAGTCCCAAGTCCAAGTCCACGTCCTCCCCCCCCCCCCCAATCCGCCCAGGTCTCTTCCATGTCCGCCGCCCTTCTCTTCCTCGCACACCACCCTTCACACCTCGCATGTTTGCTCTCCCCCTTCTTTTCTGTGCACACCTCCCAGAACCCACACACACTCCACGCCTCTCCCTCCCCCCAATCCCATTATCGACACCCCCAGACCACATTCAAGGGTTCGTTTGTTGCATCCTTTTGAGCATCTCTGGGATTCGGGTTACGATAGCGGAGGCTCAACGACTTTGAGCCAACGACTCCGACGTCCAAAGTCGAAACTCCACGCGACTCTCCATCCGTTGATTCTGACGATACCCTCGCCAGACACGTTCTCCCCCGAAGCCTCGCCTCGCCTCGGCGGGTGAACGACTCCCCCCTCACCCTCATACACACGCACACGTCCGACCTCACGCTCCTTCTTCTTCGCCCTCCTCGCCCTCCCTCCCTCATCTCCATCAAAGGCTTCGACCACCCTTCTCTCGGCACACAATGTCGAGTCTGGGGCAGTCGGGAAACAGCCATCCAGGCCTCGCCTTTCCCCAGCCGGGTAGCCTCCGACGAAGTCACGGCGGCCCAGGCGGCTTCCCGCCCCTGCAACACGCGAATCCTGCCCAAAAACCATCGCCAGGCCCTCATAACGCGTCCCCTTATCAACAACAAGCATACACGCCTCAGCAGCCGCCCCAGGCTCAATATCCTCATCACCTCTTCCAGACACCGACGCCCGTCAATGGCAACGTCAACGGAACCTCGCGTCCCCCGAGCCACGTCCCCAATGCCGCCGCCCTGGGAGCACGCCAGAGGGGGCCGCCCCAGAGGCAGCAGATGGGCCAAGGCGGGCCCAATCTGTTCCTCCCTCTAGGCAATCAGCATGGCCTCGGTCAGCAACAAGGACTCGGTCAACAACAGAGCTTGGGTCAACAGCAGGGCCTGGGAGGTCAACAAAGCCTCAGCCATCAACAGGCCCTCGGTCAGCAGCAAGGCTTGGGACAACACCAAGGTCTCGGTCAGCAGTCAGCCCTCAGCCAGCAAGGCCTCGGCCAACAGCAGGGCTTGAGCCATCAGCAGAGTCTGGGTCAACAGCAGGGACTCGGCCAGCAGCAAGGTCTGGGTCAGCATAATCAACACCAGCAGCACCAGCAGCAGCACCAGGCACATCAACAACACCAACAGCACCAGCAGCAACACCACCAGCAACAACATCAACAGCACCAACAGAGCCTGGGTCAACAGCAGACCCTAGCGCAGCAGCAACAGCAACACCAGCAAACTCTTAGCCAGCAACAAAAGCTGAGCCAGCAGCACAGTCTCCATCAGCAGCAGCAGCAACAGCAACAGCAACAGCAGGCGCAACAACAAGCCCAGCAGCAGGCCCAGCAACAAGCCCAACAGCAGGCTCAACAGCAAGCTCAGCAGCAGGCTCAGCAACAAGCCCAGCAACAGGCTCAGCAGCAGGCTCAACAACAGCAGCAGCAGCAGCAGCAGCAGCAGCAGCAGCAGCAGCAGATCAAGTCTGAGCCGATCGTGCCGCAGCATACCCCTCAAGCCCAGACTCTGTCACAGCCTACGCCTCCCACAGTTCAGCAGCAGCTGCCGCAGGTTACCCAGGTCCAGCAGGTGCCTCAGCAAGTCCAGCAAGTCCAGCAGGCCCAACAAGTGCCCCAGGCCTCTCCAGTCCAGCAGCAGGTTCAGCAGCCTGCCCAGGCCCGACCCGAGACGCCTGCCCAGGCTAGCGATCACCATGGGGAGAGTATGGAGGTCGATGCATCCCTGGCCGAGGGTGATGATTCCCTTGAGCCAAAGATGGTTGATGGGGCGCCATTCGTTCCTCGGACGCCAATGGGAGAGATGATGTCTGCTCCTCCCGAGGGAGGCAGCTTCCCAACCTTGGAGGCGGTGCATAAGAGCGTTCTCGCATACTGCACGTCAGTCGGTTACGCAATTGTCATTGGCCGCTCCAAGAAGACAGTTCCTGGGCTCAAAAAGGTTCTGTTCGTGTGTGACCGGGCAGGCAAGCCTCCGAGTCGCGTCAGCCCCGAATTCCGCAAGCGCAAGACGTCATCGCGTAAATGCGACTGCCAATTCGGCTTCTTTGCCATCGAGCAGCGGACCCAGTGGACGATTCGATACCGACCGGATCCTCAGCATCTGCAACACAACCACGGCCCTAGCGAAAGCCCGCTCCTCCACCCAGCAGCTCGCAAGCTAGACAGCAAGATGGTGGCCGCCGTCAAAGCTCTCAAGGAGAATGGTGAGCCGGCAAAGACAACACCACGAGAAAGAGCAGCCGCTGACTCTTCGACAGGGGTTAGTGTGAACGAGACACTGGAGATACTGCAAGGCGAAAATCCTCACGTTCCCCTCCTCCCTCGCGACATCTACAATGCCAGAGCGGCAATCAATCGCAACCCGCAAAAGGTGGCTACGGGATTGGCAGAGAACAGACCGGCTATATATAGCAAACCACACCCCACGGCAGAAGAGAGGATTCGGGCAGATCTCCGAAAGGAACTCGCCAAGGCACGCGAGGATTTTGACAAGTACAAGGAGGACAAACAAAAAGAGGTGGACGAGTTGAAGAAGAAGCTGGTGGAAAAGGACCAGATCATTGAAAGGTTTGAAATGTTCATCGACATTTGCAACCAACGGGTCATGGTTCAACGGGAGCGGCTCGGTGGCCCAGAAGGGTCTGGAAACAACGGCACGTAGTGTGCGGCCGTGGACGGATGGGATTTGGCAGAGGGTATCCTTGCATGATCGGGATCGGGAAACTGGTTTGAGAAGGGGTTTGTACGATGCTTTCCTTTCTGCATCGCGGAAGCATGGCCGTCGGTATGCCGAAAGTGCAAGGCAGGATGGAAACAGGTGTTTGAACGGGGCGGAGTCGATTATTGGTTGTGTTCTGAGGTCGGTCCCATTAGAGGCTGGGGTCATCAGGCAGTTTTTTGTCCTTTATTATTTTCTTTCTGTTTATCTGGAAGTCCGGGGTTGCATTGGGTGGGATTCAACCAGCAAACTATCGCGAACATGACTGAAGCAAGCATTCGACTTTTGACCATGTTACTTGATGCAACTTTACGTGACATTGACAGGCTGCGGGAAGTCGCGTCGGGAACGTCGAATATGTAGAGACGGAGACTCCGTAGGCCATACGGATATATGAAAGCCAGCTTGACGGCGGCAAGTAGCAATCAGAAGGAACGCGACATGGGATATCAATGCGGCAATGAACAGCATCTTGAGGTCAAATATCGAACAAAGTAAAGTGAAAGGCGAAGTAGTGGTAAGGTAGTGGGGCAAGGGCGCGCGCGGGCTGGGCGGGAAGCTGCAGCTCAAGCTCGAGCTATCCAGGGGTCGCTGCTAATTAAGAGGCGATTTTAAGAGTAATTTTGGATCCCAAGGATAGTGGGCGTGGGCGTTGGATGTGGCAGATTGGATGGCCATTTTCGTACTGGTAGCCATCCAAACGGACCAGGGGGTTCTAGTGATAGGTAGTCAGGTGATGGCGAGTTGTGAAGAGAACAGGAGCGGAAGACCATCTCATTTTTATCATGCTGCTCTCGATCTTTGAGGCAGAAGTGTTGATGGGTATTCTGTATTCCGTAGTTGTAGGCCAGGTACCTTTAGGTATTTAGACGCGTCGTTGGCTGCATTACCTAAGACATGCGCATGTGAAGAAAGAACAGCTGTTGTTTCTGAGGTACAGATATGCAAGCCCACCAGTGAAGGGGAAGGGAGGGGCTTGTTGCTGCTGCTGCTGCTGCTGCTGCTGACTGTTTCCTGTCCCGAAATGTAGACATGCACAGGGAGGGGACCCTGATGCAGATTTATGCCTGGTGTCAGTGGTGCAGGTGAAATGTACAGACGGGACGTGTCCTGGCCAGCGTGTCTGGGCTCCTCTTATTCCCCTTTGGCAGCATGCATTGCCAGCACAGGAGCGAAAAAAAAAAAAAAAAAAAAAGAGAATTTGGTCGCGGTAGATCGGAGCTTTGATTCGGCAGACTCAGAGGATACAGCCAATCACAAGACTCCCATAGTCCCGGGTGGATACTCCGGGCAGTCTACGTACAGTCTACGTACCTGAGCTTGAGTGGCCAGCAAACCTCCTGACACATGCTGTCGCGACAAGGGTCCTGCCTGGTCGCGTTAAAACTCGCAGACATTGGATCTCAGGGAAAGGAAAGGACCACCGCCCTGGAGCAATGTACCTTTTCCCGCCGTTTCCTGTGTAATTGTACACAACTCGCGGGAATGCTCCATTGCACTTGCACAAGAAGTTCCCAAACGAACGTGAAAGTGGAACCCGTGGACAAGTCAACCCGTCCGGGGACTCTCCAGTAATTCGTCTGGAAAGTCAACATTGCTTTGCAGAAGACCGGGCACCTCACCTCCGACCTACCTACCTTATTACATAGTTGCATTTCGTAGACTCATCCCACGACAACCCCCGGAATCTGCGCTGCGCATCAAACCCGCTGCCGCAAATAACCACCCACTACCAGACGACGACAACGGGACGACGAGCACATCTCGGTTCCTAAACGCGATAATCACTTCCTCGTTCCACTCAAGGATACCACAACTCTCCTTTAGCATCTTCCATTCTCTCGCTTCTCTTCGTTTCGCTCCCCGGCTCATCACGACTCGTCCAACTCGCGGCCGACAGTCATCGCCCCTGAGGTTGCCCTTTTTTGACCCGACAGACACACTGTCCGCTCACCTACGTTACCGTCTATTCGTCGTACCCACGATGATGCCGACCTCGACCTTGTAAATATCGTCCTTCTTCGTCCGAAACCACATACCACATACCCCGAGCCGCCATGGAGGTGGCCTCCACCCCGATCCCGGGCGCGAACGGCGTCGCCTCGCCCACCGCCGAATCCTCGATCGATCCGACCCGCGTTCTCGACCACATTGCTCTGGTCTGCCAGATAGCTCTCGGAGCGACCAACGAGGACCTCGAAAGCCCCGGGAGCTTGCTTCACAAGCACCGCTACTCTGATACTGTCCAGCGCTGCACCCGCTTCGCTACCGATACCCCGAACGCCCTATACATTCAGAAAGACATCTTGCCCGTATCCACGATACAGAATGGAACCGACGACTCAAGTTCGTTCAACCCGCGCGAGGCAGAACCCTCTCCGACTTGCATAGGCACCGCTAACCGCTTGAGTGTAGAGTCTCCATCCTACACATACTCCCTGACGACCGAGATCTCTTCGTCTCCCACGACCGTGTCATGCCTCGTGCTGCTCAAGCAGCGCCCTGGCCCGATCGACCCCTCGCTGCCGCTCACTTCTCAGATACTCTTGACTAATCTCCCAGGCCCTGCGACCTTGAATGCCACCGCCGGCGAGCAAGGCCCCTCTACTTCGCCCTTCGAAATCCTGCACTCTTATGTTCATAATGCGCTGGCGCCATACTTTGATGCCAACACCCGGAGCCAAATCACCAATGGCGCCAGGGGCAGGGCGGATGTGGACTCCAAGACTGGAATTCCTGTCACCAAGAAGAGATGGAACGACTTGGAGTTGAGCTTGCTTCATCTCCAGCAGAATGTCGAAATTCCCGAGGTCTCCCTCATGTTCCATACAATGGTACAAAACGCGCTGGAAGAGGCCGATTCGCGACACTCGAAACCCACACTCGATCTCATCCCGGGCACCGTGCTCTCCGACAGTACCTTCCTCAACAGCTTGCAGAATAATGTGAACAGCTGGATCAAGTCGATTCAGGTCATTACGAGGATGACCAGGGACCCCGCCGACAGCGCTAAAGACTTTAAGTTCACGGCCAGTCAAGAGGTCAACTTTTGGCTGTCGATGGAGTCTGCATTGGAGGGCATCGAAGGACAGCTCCGTAGCGAGGGAGTCCTCCTGACTCTTGAGATTCTCAAGCACGCCAAGCGTTTCCAGGCGACTGTCAGTTTCACGGCCGATACCGGCTTGAAGGAGGCCATGGAAAAGGTGCAAAAGTACAACCAGCTCATGCGAGACTTTCCGCTCGACGAACTGCTTTCCGCCACCTATCTGTCCAAGGTCAAGGACGCTATCGTGCAGATCTTTGGCCACCTGAACAGGAAGCTCAGAATCTGCCCTTACCCCATTCGGAGAGCCCTCCCTTTGGTCGAAGCTATTTCTGGAGACTTGGACGAGGTGCTGCACCGACTTTTGCCCGGTACCGAGCTTGTCAACCTCGACTACACTGAATTCAAGGCCATTATGAAGGCAAGCGACGACATCTTCACTACATGGGATGAAAGCATCAAGGAGTTTACCAATGTCGCGCGTGAGGTAACGCGTAGGAGAAACGAGAAGTTCATTCCCATCAAGGTCAACCCGAAGCATGCCGAGCTTCAAGGCCGTCTCAAGTACGTCAGCACCTTTCGCGACAACCACGAGCAGCTGCAGCGGACCATTGTCAATGTTCTCGGTCCCAAGGCTACTGTGAGCGGCTTGACAGAAACGACCAATACCAACGGCGTAGTCGTTGTTGAAGAGATGGGCGATGTTGACGCCGTCGAAGAAGTCAAGCAGGCCTGGGAGGCGTTGAAGAACGTCGACCTCTTGGATGTTTCCCCTGAGGGCACCGAGAGATGGGCCAAGGCTGAGAACATGTACAATGAGCGGACTTCCCGGGTTGAAAACTCCATCATTGCGCGCCTGAGAGACCGCCTGGCGACGGCAAAGAACGCCAACGAGATGTTCCGCGTCTTCTCCAAGTTCAACGCTCTTTTCGTGCGCCCAAAAATTCGTGGTGCTATTGCCGAGTACCAGAACCAGTTGATGGAGCACGTGAAACAAGCCATCCACGGCCTTCACGAGCGCTTCAAGCAACAGTATGGCCACTCTGAGGCTCACGCCATGGCTCAGTTGCGTGATCTGCCGCCTGTTTCTGGTGCCATTATCTGGGCGCGACAAATTGAGCATCAGCTCGACAACTACATGAAGAAGGTCGAGGACGTGCTGGGTTCCGAGTGGGCCATCCACGCCGAAGGTCAGAAGCTGCAGAGCGAGAGCAATCTCTTCCGAAAGAAGCTGGACACGCAGACCATCTACAAGGCTTGGCTCGACGATGTTCAGCGCCGCCAAATCTCTATTTCTGGTTTCCTTTTTGATATTCGTCGCCAGCGATCGACGGGCAACAGCTACGAACTCATGGTCAATTTTGATCCTCAGGTCATCACCCTCTTCAAAGAGACACGTAACCTCATGTGGCAAAACTATGCTGTTCCTCATTCAATCAACAATGTGTCCAAGGATGCCAAGCGTGTCTACCCTTTCGCAGTCAGTCTCATGGAGAGCGTTCGTACCTTTTCGCAGACCATGCGTCAAATCTCCGAGATGGGCGAGGAAGCCGTGCTTGTGTATGGATACAGGAACGACGTCTATGCTCTGGTGTCCAGAGGTGTTCCTCTTCGATGGGAGTCATTTGTCAACTCTCACGAGATCTTCTTCTCCACCAAGAACAACGCTACCTTGCCCAACGTATCCGAATTTGGGCTTTCCAAGCCATCCGAGAGCAAGCACAGCCTTTTCATTCGAGAGTTTGCCGCGGCCGTGTCCTTGCTCCAGGCCAAGACCGCTTCACTGGCGTCAATCCACGCGACCGTGGAGAAGGCGCTTATTGAGCTCAACACTTGCCCCTACGAGGCCAGCGCCTTCACTTCACGTCTAGAGACCATCCAGACTGCCGTCGATCAGCTT